CTTTATTCTCAACCACAATCACCAAGTCAAGATTCATTCAACAACGACATGTTTGCGACGGGTATGATGATGGAGGCGAGTATTGTACAAAGTCTTGACCAAACAAAGAGGCATCGAACAAGGGAGCCAGCTCGTTCGACGGCACCTCTGGCTGAACGAGTGCTTTTGCATCTTCTTGCTCCTCGTACATACCCTGCCACACCTTTTCAACCGTCCACTCTGACGAGTCAGCACTATTTAGAGAGGGCGAGCAGACCGTCTTGTCTTCATCATCCGCCTCATCATCCGCATCATTCTCACCGTCCTCTCCTCCGTCCTCTTCACTCAACGTAGAAGACGAAGAAATATTGATGAGAGTGGAGTCCTGTGTGACATCTAGAATGCTGGTGGCATCACCCTCTTCGACTAGCGCGGCGAGATGGATGGCCGGGTTGACAAGCCGAACAGGTTTAGGCGCCACCACAAACTCGTTCGTGCTGACATTCCTAGTCGTATTCGTATTCGTCGACGTAGCGTTATTGGAGGTTGTGGTGGCAGGTACAGCCAAGGTAGATGAAGGTGGCACGATCGAGGCGGTGGGCATGGCCGAGCTAAAAGTGAGATCACCGAACAGCGGCTCTTCGAATTGCTGCGCATAACCACTACCTTGAATAAAAGCAGTGCTAGTCTGCGCAAGGGACGTGTCTGTAAATAGCGGAGACAGGGATACCGGGCCCGCCGAGGTGGCATAGGCTTCATCGGTCGGCTGGTATGGGTGGCTGGCAAGTATGGACAAGGGTACGTTCCAGGGCTCGGTCGCGTCCCAATTGCTCAACGCCGAACACTGTAAAGAAGGCTGCGTGAAGGTATTGCTCGTCGTCGTCGTCGGGGTCGCTGGGGATAGGAGGGTGTCGAGGAAGGAGAGGTCGTTGGTGGTAGGCTGGTACGTCAACGACAACTCTTGCAACGAATTCGATCCAATCGAAGACGTCTCTTCCTCTTCCTCCTCCTCTTCACCTTCAGCATCGTTGTCGGTAATCTCTTCTTCCTCTTCAGAGGACAAGTGTGCAAAGGGAGGCATAGCAGCCTCCATCATCATACCCGTCGCAAACATGTCGTTGTTGAATGAATCTTGACTTGGTGATTGTGGTTGAGAATAAAG